CTGCCTCGGCCTCCCACAGTGCTGGAATTGCAGCCATGAGCCACTGTGCTGAGCCTAATTCTGTTTTACAGTCATTTTCTATTAACTATTTAGTCCATTTACATTTATTGTGATTGTTGGCTTAGTTTCATTTATAACGTTCATCTTATTTTGTGCTATCTGTTCCATCTGTTTCGTATTTCTTCATGTCTTCTTTTTTGCTTCTCTTTCTCCTAATTCCTTTTATATTCATGGTTATTCTATTGTTCCTGAAATATATATTTTATGTGAATACATTTGTGAGTTGACAATACTTTATTAGCAATTAAATATACTATGTCACTTTTTTTTAACTACAGTTGTTGCTGCTAAGAAATTAGCTGTCAGAGCAACTGTGGCCTCTTGAAAGAAATTACAATCAAGTGATGACCTGCTATGCTTTTAGCTTCTTGTGGCCCTTCCCTCCTGCAACCTGCACTCCCATCTACAAATACAACCTCAACGCTCTACTCAGATCAGTGGAGTATCAGGGAGATGGGGAAGTTATTGTTCATATTTTTATGCTTAGTTGTAGGCACTGGGGGCTCTGACCTTAAATTGGGTCTAGATAGGAGATTCTTCATTTGACTGTATTTATTTTTAAAAAGCAAACTGGACCTACACATAGCAACACACACAAAAGATAATTACAAAGAGGTAACACCTCTAAATGGGAAAAGAAAAATAAGACTTTCAAAACAAAATGTAATAGACTCTCTTAAAGATGTTGGAGGAGGGAAGCATTTCATAAGATACAAAAAGCACAAATCAGAAAGGAACAGATAAACTGAGCTACACAGAGCATAGTGGCATGCCTGGCTATAACCCCAGCTACTTGGAAGGCAGAGGCAGAAAGATCACTTGAGCCCAGGAGTTCAAGACCAGCCTGGGCAAAATGGCAAGACTTTAAAACTATATATGTATACACACACACAAACACACACACACACACACACCGAGTCTTATATATACTATTATATATTATATACAATGTGACTACATTAAAATTAAGAACTTCTGCCTATCAATAAACACTATAAAGAAAGTGAATATATGCACACACACATGGATACACGTATGCTCACACACACACATATTACGGCAAAGCAAACAAGACAAAATGTTTACTCGTTAATCTAGGTGATGGAAACAAAGGTGATTACTGTGGCTTTCTTTCCTTTTCTAATGTTTGAAACATTTTATAATAATAGGTTGTAGAGGGTACAGAGTTCCTACAAAGCAATAGGAAGAAAACTAGTTTGAGACTTGACAAGTACTTTTCAAAAGAGAAACCCCAAAAAAGGAGATAAATAGAGAAAGATAGCCATCCTCCTTAGCATCAAGGAAACACATGTTAAAACTACTGTAAGAAACCAGGGCTGGCATGGTGGCTGGCACCTTAATCCCAACTCTTTGGGAGGCCAAGGCAGGTAGGTCCCTCGAGCCTATGAGTTCCAGACCATCCTGAGCAACATGGTGAAACTGCCTGTACAAATACAAACATTAGCCGAGCATAGCAGTATGCATGGGCAGTCCCAGCTACTCAGGAGGCTGAGGCAGGAGGATTGCTTGATCCTAGAGGCAGAGCCGCAGGGAGACAGGGACAGAGTGAGATCCTGTCTCAAAAGAATAAAAATAAACCACTTAATGCCCATCAGATTTACAAAAATTTAAAGTCTATGTCAAATGTTTGAGAAGACATGGGTTAATGAGTACTCCCAGCCCCTGTTGGTGGGATTATAAACTGATACACACATGCACACACAGCACTGAAATAAATAAACCAACAGAACCAAATAGAGTCCAGAAAGAGACACTTCAATTAATGTGACAGAGGTAACACTGCAGAGCAGGGGAGAGAAGACAGACTTTGACCAGACTCAGTCATGTGGGGAAACTGTGTGTGTGTGTGTGTGTGTGTGTGTGTGTGTGTGTGAGAGAGAGAGAGTGCACGCACGTGTGCACTGAGGCATATTTCAACAACACTCTACACGGTGGGCCAAATGAACTACAGTCTACACAATCAGCATGTAAATTAACCTAGCTTTAAAGGCAAAAGAATTAAGTCTGAAAAGACTATGGTGCCATTCCATTTATATAGAGATCAGCGTTAAGAACCAATCAATTCACTTTGGGAGGCCGAGGCGGGTGGATCACGAGGTCAAGAGATCGAGACCATCCTGGTCAACACGGTGAAACCCCGTCTCTACTAAAAATACAAAAAATTAGCTGGGCTTGGTGGTACGTGCCTGTAATCCCAGCTACTCAGGAGGCTGAGGCAGGAGAATTGCCTGAACCCAGGAGACGGAGGTTGCGGTGAGCCGAGATCGCGCCATTGCACTCCAGCCTGGGTAACAGGAGCCAAACTCCACCTCAGAAAAAAAAAAAGGACCAATCGATTTACTCTTTAGCTAAATGATATTTCATGGTGTATATATGCCACATTTCCTGTATCCATTCATCCATTGATGGACACTTAGGCTGATTCCGTATCTTAGTTGAGGAATTAATAAGCAGAAGACATGGAAAAAGAAATGTAATAAATATATATCATAAAAAACTATGCAGCCATAAAAAATAAGAAAATCATGTTCCAGCAACACCACGGATGCAGCAGGAGGCCATTATCCTAAACAAATGAAAGCAGGCGCAGAAAACCAGACACCACGTGTTCTCACTTACAGAGAAAACCAGACACCGCGTGTTCTCACTTACAGGCGGGAGCTGATCACTGGGTACACACTGACAGAAAGAAGGGCACAGCAGACACTGGAGACTTGCAGAGGGCAGAGGGTGGGCACAGGGTGGGCAGAGGGTGGGCACAGGGTGTGCAGAGGGTGGGCAGAGGGTGTGCAGAGGGTAGATCGAGTGGGCACAGGGTGGGCAGAGGGTGGACAGAGGGTGGGCACAGGGTGGACAGAGGGTGGACAGAGGGTGGGCACAGGGTGGACAGAGGGTGGACAGAGGGTGGGCACAGGGTAGACAGAGGGTGGGCACAGGTTGGACAGAGGGTGGGCAGAGAGTGGGCACAGGGTAGACAGAGGGTGGGCAGAGAGTGGACACAGGGTGGGCACAGAGTAGACAGAGGGTGGGAACAGGGTAGACAGAAGATGGACAGAGGGTGGGCACAGGGTAGACAGGGTCGACAGAGGGTGGACAGAGGGTGGGCATAGGGTGGGCACAGGGTGGACAGAGGGTGGCAGAGGGTGGGCAGAGGGTGGCAGAGGGTGGGCAGGGAACGAGGGCTGAGAAACTCCATCAGTCCTTATTCTTGGATACTATACTCATTACCTGGTTGACCCACAAACTTAGCATCACACAATATACCCATAAAACAAACTCACACATGTTCCCCCAAATCTAAAATAAAAGTTGAAATTTTAAAAATGATAACCAGCATATGTAAGGACTTCAACTCTATAGTAAAAAACCCAAATAACCAAATTCAAAGATGGACAAATGATCTGAATAGACATTTCTCAAAAGACATAAAAATTGCTAAGAGGTACATGACCAAAGGCTCAACAACTCGAATCCTCAGGCAAATGCAAATCAAAACCACAGTAAGACACCATCTCACCCCAGTCACAATGGCTGTTATCAAAAAGACAAACAGATGCTGGCAAGGAAGTGAAGAAAGGGCAACTCGTCTACACTGCCGGCAGGAATGGGAACAGGAGTTAGAACAGCCGTTATAGAAAACAGTATGGAGTGTCCTCAAAAAAAAAAAAAAAAAACCTAAAAATACAGGCACCATAGGATCCAGCAGTCCCACTGCTGGGGAGATGCGCTAAAGAAAGAAACCCGGTGTCTCAGAGAAACACCCACTCTCCGGAACCCCCGTGTCTACCACAGCACTGCTCACAGGAAGGTCGCTGCACCGACGGCAGGATCCCTACGAGCCTCCTCTCTCCCTTGCGTTCCTGCATTTGCTTCTTTTGCATTTATGCGTTTGGCATGTTCCACTGTACATTTTTATTTTCGCTCCCACAAGAGGTGAGATCTGTGTGTGAACAGGAATTCCTTCACCCGTGTGCCTCCAAGCGCACCTACCTTGAAGTTTTAGTGTTAAACCAAACATGTCCTTCCATGAGAGCTGAGAATGACTTAATTCTCATACTGACAAAGTACAATTGATACCATACACCACACCCCATCATGACAAACCACTACGGATTCAAACCCAGTCTGGGAAGCGTCACACTTTTCTTCTGGATCACTAGGGGAAAACCTCGGAGTTTTTCTACACTGGGAACATGATTCTGTTACCATACAAAGTAGGAAGTAACTCAAAAGAAAGATGTTTATCCTGATGTATCTTTTTCATTCCTTAAAGAATGCTTCCAGCCTATGGCTTTGCCTTGGGTGAACCCATGTCAAATGATTTAATGCAAACGGAAAATGCCAATCTTTTAGGTCACTTAGTCCATCCTGTACACAGTTACACACGGGAGACACATATAGACAAGGTGGCTGGCCAGCTCTCGGCCATTAACAACTGCTTAATAAACTGAAAAATCACCTCACATAATGAATACGACTTAATATGAAAATCAACGGATACCAGAAGCTTCCCTGTTTCTAAACCTCAAAATGGCAATCTGACAAGATAATCATGGGTGGCTCAGCTCCCAGAACATTCTCTGCATACGCCTCGCTTACTAAACCGGTGTATCTGCAACCTTAAAGGGGGAATGGGGAGGGTAATTAAGAATGTGCTATGAATGCTAGTTCCCTTGTTTATATGTGCTGTCATTCCTTTAAAAAGCCAGACATTTAAACAAGTGAATGAGAAAGCTGGATCATCTTCACACTTGCCCCACTGCAGGTCACTTGCTCTTGGCAGGTTGTCGGGATTATTTAAATTCAGGAGCAGTACTTGGTTGACAAGCTTCTGCACTGCTGCAGGCTACATCCTCCTAGAGCGCCTGAAGGGTGATTACAATTGCCAGCATCTACAGAGGACAACAAAGGAGGCTTACCCCTTCCCGAAGGCACCTCATTAGCACTGTGTATGCAGCCAGGGGAACAGCCCAGCACTCTCTAGGGTTCTTTTTTTTTTCTTCCTAAAATGAAGTGGGGGGGAAAAAAGGCAGTGAGGCTCATAACACAAAAGATATTAACCCATTCAAGCAAATGGCACAACTCAGTTCCAAGTATACAAACTATCTAAAACTTCTTAATAAAACATTACTTACTACCTGACGATAATGACCAGATAAGGATCTTCTATTGCATTGCACATACAAGGTATTTCTTCTATTTCTCATTGCATTACATGTGATGTGGAGAAGATCCCTTCATTAGAAGCTAGATGTAAAAAACTGAGAAATGATAATATGATCCAATACAATCTGACAGAGAAATCATCCTGTTGATAATTATAGATGATAATATAGAAACAACTATCTAAAAAGCATCACATTATCTGGAATGATTTAAAAGCACAGAAAACCGAACTTTGAGTGATAACTCAGGAGAACCCCCAAGCACAAGTAATAGGCAGTATGTTACCCAGTAAGACAAAAAGCCAAATAAAAATGAGCACATGAGCAGGTGCACTGATTTTAATGACATCAGGAATAGTTCCCTTCCAGAAGATTAACCAAATTAGTGTCATACCCACAAGCACACTCCTGCAACCTATCAAATACAATCACAAAATAAATCAGGTGCCACAGAGAAAGATGAAAAAAAATAATTTTTAAAGCAGAAACAATTAGGTTCTCCTTACAGAATATACTCAAGATTGTCCAGATGACAGAAGTGACACCTTATTAAATTACTTCAGCCACTGTGAAAAACAGTCTGGAGATATCTCAAAGAACTAAAAACAGAAACAGGATTTGAACCAGCGATCCCATTACAGAACGACCATCTGAACCAGCGAGCCCATTACACAACACCCATCTGAACCAGCGAGCCCATTACACAACACCCATCTGAACCAGCGAGCCCATTACAGAACTGCCATCTGAACCAGCAAGCCCATTACAGAACGACCATCTGAACCAGCAAGCCCATTACAGAACACCCATCTGAACCAGCGAGCCCATTACACAACACCCATCTGAACCAGCGACCCCATTACAGAACACCCATCTGAACCAGCGAGCCCATTACACAACACCCATCTGAACCAGCGAGCCCATTACACAACACCCATCTGAACCAGCGAGCCCATTACAGAACTGCCATCTGAACCAGCGATCCCATTACAGAACTGCCATCTGAACCAGCGAGCCCATTACAGAACGACCACCTGAACCAGCAAGCCCATTACAGAACACCCATCTGAACCAGCGAGCCCATTACAGAACACCCATCTGAACCAGCGATCACATTACAGAACACCCATCTGAACCAGCGAGCCCATTACAGAACTGCCATCTGAACCAGCGAGCCCATTACAGAACACTCATCTGAACCAGCGAGCCCATTACAGAACTGCCATCTGAACCAGCGAGCCCATTACAGAACTGCCATCTGAACCAGCGAGCCCATTACAGAACACTCATCTGAACCAGCGAGCCCATTACAGAACTGCCATCTGAACCAGCGAGCCCATTACAGAACTGCCATCTGAACCAGCGAGCCCATTACACAACTGCCATCTGAACCAGCGAGCCCATTACACAACTGCCATCTGAACCAGCGAGCCCATTACAGAACTGCCATCTGAACCAGCGAGCCCATTACATAACACCCATCTGAACCAGCGAGCCCATTACAGAACTGCCATCTGAACCAGCGAGCCCATTACAGAACGACCACCTGAACCAGCAAGCCCATTACAGAACACCCATCTGAACCAGCGAGCCCATTACAGAACACCCATCTGAACCAGCGAGCCCATTACAGAACTGCCATCTGAACCAGCGAGCCCATTACAGAACACCCATCTGAACCAGCGAGCCCATTACAGAACTGCCATCTGAACCAGCGATCACATTACAGAACACCCATCTGAACCAGCGAGCCCATTACAGAACACCCATCTGAACCAGCGAGCCCATTACAGAACTGCCATCTGAACCAGCGATCACATTACAGAACACCCATCTGAACCAGCGAGCCCATTACAGAACACCCATCTGAACCAGCGAGCCCATTACAGAACGACCATCTGAACCAGCAAGCCCATTACAGAACACCCATCTGAACCAGCGAGCCCATTACAGAACACCCATCTGAACCAGCGAGCCCATTACAGAACACCCATCTGAACCAGCGAGCCCATTACAGAACTGCCATCTGAACCAGCGAGCCCATTACAGAACACCCATCTGAAGCAGCAAGCCCATTACAGAACTGCCATCTGAACCAGCGAGCCCATTACAGAACTGCCATCTGAACCAGCGAGCCCATTACAGAACACCCATCTGAAGCAGCAAGCCCATTACAGAACTGCCATCTGAACCAGCGAGCCCATTACAGAACTGCCATCTGAACCAGCGAGCCCATTACAGAACGACCATCTGAACCAGCGAGCCCATTACAGAACTGCCATCTGAACCAGCGAGCCCATTACAGAACACCCATCTGAACCAGCGAGCCCATTACAGAACTGCCATCTGAACCAGCGAGCCCATTACAGAACACCCATCTGAACCAGCGAGCCCATTACAGAACGACCATCTGAACCAGCGAGCCCATTACAGAACTGCCATCTGAAGCAGCGAGCCCATTACAGAACTGCCATCTGAACCAGCGAGCCCATTACAGAACTGCCATCTGAACCAGCGAGCCCATTACAGAACACCCATCTGAACCAGCGAGCCCATTACAGAACTGCCATCTGAACCAGCGATCACATTACAGAACTGCCATCTGAACCAGCGAGCCCATTACAGAACTGCCATCTGAACCAGCGAGCCCATTACAGAACGACCATCTGACCAGCAAGCCCATTACAGAACTGCCATCTGAACCCAGCGAGCCCATTACAGAACTGCCATCTGAACCAGCGAGCCCATTACAGAACTGCCATCTGAACCAGCGATCACATTACAGAACTGCCATCTGAACCAGCGAGCCCATTACAGAACTGCCATCTGAACCAGCGAGCCCATTACAGAACACCCATCTGAACCAGCGAGCCCATTACAGAACTGCCATCTGAACCAGCGAGCCCATTACAGAACGACCATCTGAAGCAGCAAGCCCATTACAGAACTGCCATCTGAACCAGCGAGCCCATTACAGAACTGCCATCTGAACCAGCGAGCCCATTACAGAACACCCATCTGAAGCAGCTAGCCCATTACAGAACTGCCATCTGAACCAGCGAGCCCATTACAGAACTGCCATCTGAACCAGCGAGCCCATTACAGAACGACCATCTGAACCAGCGAGCCCATTACAGAACTGCCATCTGAACCAGCGAGCCCATTACAGAACACCCATCTGAACCAGCGAGCCCATTACAGAACTGCCATCTGAACCAGCGAGCCCATTACAGAACACCCATCTGAACCAGCGAGCCCATTACAGAACGACCATCTGAACCAGCGAGCCCATTACAGAACTGCCATCTGAAGCAGCGAGCCCATTACAGAACTGCCATCTGAACCAGCGAGCCCATTACAGAACTGCCATCTGAACCAGCGAGCCCATTACAGAACACCCATCTGAACCAGCGAGCCCATTACAGAACTGCCATCTGAACCAGCGATCACATTACAGAACTGCCATCTGAACCAGCGAGCCCATTACAGAACTGCCATCTGAACCAGCGAGCCCATTACAGAACGACCATCTGAACCAGCAAGCCCATTACAGAACTGCCATCTGAACCAGCGAGCCCATTACAGAACTGCCATCTGAACCAGCGAGCCCATTACAGAACTGCCATCTGAACCAGCGATCACATTACAGAACTGCCATCTGAACCAGCGAGCCCATTACAGAACTGCCATCTGAACCAGCGAGCCCATTACAGAACACCCATCTGAACCAGCGAGCCCATTACAGAACTGCCATCTGAACCAGCGAGCCCATTACAGAACGACCATCTGAACCAGCGAGCCCATTACAGAACTGCCATCTGAACCAGCGAGCCCATTACAGAACGGCCATCTGAACCAGCGAGCCCATTACAGAACGACCATCTGAACCAGCAAGCCCATTACTGGTTATGTACCCAAAGGAAAACAAATCATTCTACCAAAAACACACACAGACTCCCATGTTCATCGTAGCACTATTCACAAGAACAGAAACATGCAGCCGACCTAGGTGCCCGTCAGCAGTGAACTGGATAAAGCAAATGTAACACGTCTCCACCGCGAAACACTTCTGCAGCAACGTGGATGCCACTGGGGGCCATTATCTTAAGCAAATGAAAGCAGCAACAGGAACCCAAACAGCACGTGTTCGCACCCGTGAGGACTAAACATGGGGTTCACTCAGACAGAAGACAGGAGCGAGAGACACTGGCACCACCAAAAGTGGGGAGGCGGGACAGGAGAAGGGCGGAGAAACTGCCTCTGGACGGACTAGACACTCACCATCTGGGAGGCAGGATCGGCCACACCCCAAAGCTCGGAATCGGCAATCTATTCAAGAAACAACCTACACATGTATCCCCGAATCTAAAATAAAGTTGAGATTTTTAAAAAAGAATTAGTACATTACTAATCCAAAAGTATTTGACGCCCATGAGAAGAATGATGGCCCATCAAAACCATACCCTTACTGGATTATAGAATCCCACATATGGCCACACCCTGAACATTATGATCAGGAGCTGCTCCAACCCAAAATTCATAAATTGACAGCAAATTTAACCTGCAAACACAAGGGTCTTCCCTTCCCTTATTCAACATGCCCACGCAACCTTTACCATCACTGGAATCTGTCATCTCCCTGGCCCCTCTTCCTTGCTTCCGTCAACAGATGGCCACCTTCACTCCCTGCCGCCTAATCCCTGGCCCATGACGTAATCACTCCTGCCCAAAACCTCACCTTTACTCTCGTTTGGGAAACCTCAACCTCTGAGAAAGCCGGCTGCTTGTTTTCTCTGGGTCTGCTCTCGGACAACTGAGCCCTTAGAGAAAGTGGCTCC